TACATATACACTGATGTATCTGAATTAGTGCTGGACAATAATTCAGTATTGATATCTATCGCAATAGAAAATGTTTCATTAAAGGTGATATGATCGATATTTGTTACACCATTTTAACAATCTACATCACAGTGGATGTCTGCTCCAAAATAAGTTCAACGGTTTTAAGTGAACAAGTGTCTGTAGTTGGAAATACAAGCAGAAGAAAATGCTAAGAAAGAAAAGACTACTGTAAATTCAGTGGTGTGCAGTTGGTTCAGGTATTGAAGGTCTGATCAACTTCAGCTTTCACTTTGCTATAAAATGTGTTGGAGTCAGAGTGGTGCAGACTCTGGTGACTTGCAGTGGGAACATAATCTGTTCCACCGTCTTATAAAGCTCCACTTGATAGAATATTCTTAGTGTTTGATCGTGTTGCAGTCAAGACCACCTAACCCAAGACCAAGACCAAAGTGTCTCGAGACCGAGACAAGACCAAAACTTTTAGGGCCTGGACCAAGTTGAGGTCAAGACCAAGACCAGAAAAAAAACTAGTGTCCTAGAAGATAGTAGTCTGCATACATGTATCTAACCTAATATATTGAGCAAATATTGACAMAATCTTTGTGTGAGGGCATAGGAAAGAATTTTGCTACAGTGGCAGATTGTTAACGTAAGTGACAGTAAAAGTTAGACACTGTCCCCACCGTCTATGAAAGTGAAGCACTACAGAATATACAAGTTGCTGTATAAWTTCTCCTGGTTATTTTACAACAATACTGTTTATGTACCCAAATAGTTTTACATAAAATTTTGCAGACATTTACCACTCCCAGAGAACCATGGTTTGCTTTCCTGTAGTGCTGCATGCAAGTAAAGTGGGGGTGGGGATGGGTAACAGCCAGTAACAAAAATACATAAATAGCAATGTCAGGTTTGAATTTGAATCAGTAGATACATTTTAAATTCAATTAAATCAAATATTATTACAAATAAATTGGACAGTAATCTTACTATTTAGTGATATTTCCACAGTTGTGGTCTTGACTGGTCTTGAAATAAAATTGAGTCCTCAGTGTTCGAGACAAGACCAAGACCATCAAAAAGTGGTCTTGAGCAGTGGTCTTGACCAAGACTGGTCTGAAGTACTACAACACTAGTGTTTGACAATCAAGCACCCTAAAAGTTTAAGCCTGCTTCCTAAAACATCACCATCTCCCCATCAGCAAGTGAAGCCAATGCTGCAAACGCAGCTGGGAATGGCACGCTGTTGTGACATACATGTATAATCGGCTTCATTGCACTTAAATTTCAGACATCTTAWATAGGTTTATGACTAGACATACTGTATTAGTTAATTATGATATCTCTTACTGTATTACATTTTGACTAGGCAAAATAACTATACTGTATTTGTATA